CAAATGGAATTTAATCACCCAAAAATTTTCAAAGATCCTACATTCCATTTTTTTATTGCTAAAAGTGTGTAGATTTTATATTTAATCTTCGTTAATTTTTTTTCCCACTGGAACCCTGTTACTGACTTTTCAATAATTTATTTGTTCAGAGATTTTTTCCTTTTCTTTACCTGAAAGCAGAACAATATGATTTTGTCATAACTTTTCACAAATCCATTCAATTGGTCAATTTATTTATATCTTTTATTTTGTTAGTATTGAGATTTAAATTGACTGTTTTTTAAACTTTCAGTGAAAATTATATTTCTGTGATGAAATCCACTTAAAGGTATTGTTTTTAATTTGAAAGATTAGCTGATAAAGTTTAATAAGCTTTTTTAAAATCCATGTTCACAAGTGACAGTGCTTTGTACTGTAATAATTTATTTAAATTCTTGAAAATATTTGTGTTGAAACCTATGTATTCCAATAGAAATCTTTGATAAAATTTACCATCAGTGTTTTCTGACTATAGAGTTCGGGTCTAAAAAATATTCCCTATGCTGCACATATTTCTTTACTAGATGTGAGACTAATGTGTTGATTTCCAATATGCTTTAACACTTTTACTTTTAAGGAAAATGCCTCTTTTTATCATATCCTAGGGTAAAATGTATAAGAATGGTTTGGATAGTACAGAATTATACAATTGGAATTATATAATTAATTCTATACTGTCCAAACTATTTTTACACATTTTTTATAACTCAAAAATATATTGTTATGTCTACTTTCTCTTTCTCACCATTGGTATTATTTGTCAGCTCCCTGTTTTCCACAATTTCATAAAGAAATTTTTCAATTTTTCTAAAGAAACAGAATTTTGCTCCCAACATGGTTCTTAAAAATTTTACACTTTTATCATTAATTCAACTTAGCTTTCACCCTTATTATTTCTTATCATGTGGGGATCTTGGGAGACACTATATTTGTGTTGCATATTCGGGTATTGATGGGCTTTTATATGCATTCTCTCATGACAAGATCTTACGGAAAGATCATTATTAAATGATGCTCAGCAATGATGTGGATTGTGCAAAGCTGAAAGGCTTATGAGCATATTTCAAGAGATGACTTCTAGGATGCAATTCACCTGTGGGGAAAAAAACTGTATCCATAATTTATCACCATACTTCAAGAGATGACGTCTAAGATACATTTCATCCATGGGAAACAGTATATTCAAAACTGTATTCATAATTCATTTTGTCTTTTTTTGACCATATAAGGTATTGCTCTGTCTTCTCCATGAATACACTAAAACTTTGGAAATGTACTAAGTTATTCCAACATTTCTCCAAAGATAGTACTAGAGCTTAGTTTTGGGCCCACGATCCTTAACTTTCAAAACAAACTTCCAAGCAATAGTCTATCACGGCTTGTAGGAAGGTCCTTCTGGTAGTGCGTTCTCAGACTGTCTTCCTAAAACAGCCTAGCAGATTCAACAACTGGCAGATATTTCCATTGTCACATGTACAAAATGATACAGAGTATGAGTACCACTGATTTTGTGTTGTTATTACCGTGTCATGTGCTTTTGTTTATGAGATGCAAAGAATTTTGGCAGCAAAATGTGTTGGTTGGGTAACATGCTAATAAAATGACCACAGGAAGAGAGCTGACACTTTTATAATAATTCAGATTTCATTGAATTTATCATTTATTCCCCACTCAGGTTTCCTTCTATAAAATCTACAAATCTATAAACTCTGCAAAATCTCAACCCCTTACCACCTTCCAACAATTAACAGTTCATTGCCCTCATCCTGTCTGTGATTACTTTCTTCAACACTAATGGCTAATATATAATTATACTTTATTGATCATGTGTATCATCAATGCCCTACTAAAATATAAATTCCACAAGACCATCAAGCTTATCATTTCATCAATAAATTCAGATGAAAATAATTCATTTATTAGTTTATCATTAGGATTTTGTTATGTCTGTGACATGTACAGTTTAGTGGGGAGAAAGATCGGGAACTAGATTTTTGCTGAGGTATTAGAATTGCCCTCTAGCTAATCTCACATGCTGGATACACATTTTTCTACCACAAGAGGGATCATTCAAAGAAAGAAATCATAGATGAGGCAACCATAGTGGAAATCTGGAAAGAAAATGCATTTATGTGATAGCCTTATCCTTTCTTTAGGTAACTCTTCAGTCTGTTACATTGTGGCTGAGGATGTAGTGCAGGACACACAGCAACAGAACTTGTGATCACAGAATGTTAGCTTTGATTCTTGGCAATCCTATTCTCAAATTCTACCAACACCAGAAGACATACCATTATACTGTGGCAAGGAATTTTATTTTCTTCTTCAAAGTTATCTTGTGATGCTTTACCACTGTGTCTAAACTGATTGTTCCTAAGGAGATAGATGCATTTTTCCTGTGAAGTCTATAACTTTATCTAACTTTATTAGCAATCTAGATATTGCTAATGTCTGCAATATCTAGATTATCTCCATAATCATCATGAACAAAGTGATACCACAATGAAAAATAAAAGACAATTGGCAATGCATTCCTTTCTTTTGTTTTAAATTTCCTTAAGCCTTTCCAGTATATGGAAACTATTATGTTTCAAATTTCCATATTTCTAATGTTTTACTTAGAGTGTTAACTGAAAATTCCAATACTACAAAACCACACAAGCATTACTATGATAGTCACTTCTTCAGCTGAGTTGAATGGACTTGTTCACATGAAATTATTTGACATATATAAGAAACAATATCAATTATTCTTGTCAGTAACACCTATGTCTTATATTAATGCTGCACCTTTAGAACAAGAAAACATAGATAAAATATGTAACCTGGATAGTCAATCAGGGTTTTAGCAAATATCACAATATATTCTGAGAGCAATGAACAGACAAATTGGGAGTGGTGGTGTGGTGCTTAAAGTAATAATGTCTGAAACCTTTGAAAACAGTCACTAGTATATTCTTTAATTTGTTAATATCCCTAAGTAGTTGAGCACAGAATCTACTGTCATTTTTCAGGGTTCTGATTATTCGTAAGGCCCCCAGTTACCTTCCATCTGCTTTCCTGATATCTGCATGATTCCTTTTACACATGTGTAACTCTGTCATATTTCCTGATCAGGCTTTTCCTAATAATCCCATTAGTCAAAGTAGACCTTTGAACAGGTCATTCAGTCTCCCTCAACTGTGGAAGTCATGTAATCAAAGTAAGAGGGGAGCTATAGGTAGATAACCAGCCTAAGATGTTGAACAGAGATAATGGACACCTTAGGAAGGTGAAGAACACAGAGAAGGATAAACAATTGGATCAGCAGTAACTGAACTGTTGCTCTGCTGATTGTTTTCCTCACACAATGCCAGAAAAATCTGTGAATAAGTACTTACAGACTTTTATTATTTTCTTCTAAAAATAAATGCAAAAGTCTTTTGTGTTTATTAATGTTTTCCCTCCCTTTCTTTCTTATTTCTATTTGTTTGCTTGTTTGCTTGTTTGGGTCATTTCTTATTTTTATCACTTATAGATATATTAAATGAGTCTGTCTCCAAATGTCTTCAATGTTTCTGCAAAAAACTTTTACATAATCCCATTGGTAAAAAGACAGTTTTAATCATGGTTCTAATCTTTTATTGACAAGTCACACATAATATAAATATATAAAGAAATAAAATACTCTAATTACAGTCATGATAATCACCTGACTTATAGACATATGTAATGAAAAAAGTCAATTCTATTGCTTTTAAAACATCTCAACTACCTCAAACAAACTAAGTTCTACATTAAAAATTGAAACTTGATTCAATAATTTTATGAAAATCTTTAAAAATGCTTTTGCATATTTTCTTATTTTATTTTATCTTATCTTTGTGTATGTTTGTGTGTGTGTGTATGTGTATATGTCTGTGTGTTTGCATCACATTGTCTGGTGCCTGCATAGTTGGAAGATGATGAGAGATGTTCAAAACTAAAGTTATAGATGATTGTAATGTACCATGGGGGTGCTGGGAATTAAATCTGAATCCACTTGTACAGTCTACAAGAACAGCAAGTACTTTTAAGCATCACAACATCTTTCTAATCCCCCAAGTTTGAACAATTTCTTACATAGTATTACATATTTTTGTGTTAGTGGAAAACAAACTTACAAATTGAAGTTCAAAACTAATTTTCAACTGATTACATTAATGTGTTCAAACTCTGCTTATTTAATTTTACGGATGATTTTGTTAAAAATGCTACTGCTGTAAGTGCTTTATATTGAATTTTATTAAGGAATAGTTAGTCTTATTAAAATAGTTCTTTTTAAAATAATATGTGTGGTTGAAGTTAGATATGTGAAATCTCTTTTCTACTTCCTAGAATAAAGATACAGTTGGAGGTTGTATTTCCAATTTTGCCTATAAAATGATAAATGATCTGATAAAAGCTTTGACCTCAAATCTCATCTATTTGAAAGTTCTTCTATCAAGTAAATTAATATTTTTCAAATAGATATAATAAACACTAATGTTTGTGGTTGCAAAAGCAGTAATGCTTCTTGAAGAATTATCAAAATTCTTTGACCACAGTTGATCTTAAAGTTCCTTAAGAACAAACTCATGCAGCATTTGCAATTAAGGTCACATAAACACTTCCAATTATCAGGTAAAGAACACCAGATTGGTTGATGGAGAAATGCTTCAATCAGAAATTGAAGCCACTCTGCTCTAACGAGGGAAAACCGCAACGCATTCTGGCTATACATGAAAATGATTTGGAAAATGTAAATTCAACATAATTCCAAATTTAACAATAAACATGGCATGCAATAGGATTCTAGTAAAAGTTTTAAATAAACACACATTGACCAAATGATCAGTAATTTTCATCACTTAAGAAAAATTGACAGTAAGTTATTGAGTGTGATAGGTGCATGCTACCACATACGATGTTCAGAGTTTAAAAACAAAGAAAAATTCAATTACCCTAAAAGACATTTCAAGATTCTCTCCACCCCAGATATCCATTCCTGCATCGTATGTTCCTATCTCTTCAAAGTAGTTTCTGTCAATAGAAAATAGGCCACCAGCCATAGTAGGGGTCCTAGTTGAAAACAAAACAAAAAGAAAAGAATATGTTTTGAAATCAATGTATGGAGTTTAATATTACTACAGCAAAATGTTTTGACATCTTAAATACTAAAATACTCCTCAGAAATTCATTGGAAACACAATGTCAAAGTGTGAAAGCATTTAAAAATTTTAAATTGCATCTGTATTTCACACGTCTACAAAACATCTTTAAATTATTTTTTTAATTATAGATGATAAAACAGAAACATAGAAGAAACACTGTCCACTTAAAATTGACACTTCTACAAACCCTGAGACAGAGCAAGGTCAAGGTGCTGCCTTTTACATAGTCTTCAAAGAGATTGCCTGATCTCAAAGACACGAGCTGTGATCTTGGCCACAGAATTACAAATCATATTAGTGTAAAGTTGAGAATGTGCTTTCTCTATGGAAAAAGGTCCATTTCCTATCTCAATTCAAAAGTACAAACTGCTATGAAAATGTCTGCAGAAAGCATCTAATGTTGGCTATAACATCATTTTAAACAAAGAGGGTAAGGGAGCTTTTATATCTAATTGTTTATTATTCATTGTATACTTTTAAGATAAAATTGTCAAAATCAAATGATACAGACAAATCTCATACACTACTCAGAAATTTAAAGGGTTTTTAACATGGATTCTAAAATTTCCTATCTACAAATAATTTTTTATTTGGCTCCCATGTTCAAAATTCCTCAATAAGAACTAAAATATCAAATCTGGCCAAAGAAACAGGTAGGTTACTGTAGATCTTCACCATCCCTCCACTCCTCCACATCCAAATCCCCAGTCTCTTCCCTAGGTTTACATCCAACCATGCACTACTTCATCCATCTTCAATGGATCATCTAAATCATGCCCTTCTAATTACCCTTACTACACTGATGACTTCACTGAAGTTCCAAAGCTAGCAGACACTCCCGAGGAACGCACAAATAATTCAGGTGAGGGAATCAGGTAGGCTAAATGGAGATCTTCATCTCTCTCTCAGCTATTCCATGTCCAATCCCTGAATCTCATTCAAAGAGATTCATAACTGACTATCTACTTTGATTTCTCTTCACTTTCTCACTATTCCTAGCGCACTAAGCAAATCCTTGTGGAAAAACCTACTTTCTTCCCTTCCATTGGTTACATATAGCAAGAGCCCAGAAGAATTTCCCACCGAACAACACACAACCAACACACTCGCCTAAGAAGCAAAGAGGGAAAAACAAATAAAAATAAAAACCCAAAAAACAATCAAACAAAGCAATGGAACAAAATACCTACCCCAAAAGACAAAACCAGATACCGAAACCTAGATAAGAATCTTCCCAGACCCAGATGCCTAGACTTGAGCATAAAAATACAAGTAGGAAAATGCACCTCTCCTGGAGCCCAGCAACCCTGGCACAGTAGTCTCAGAAAATTGTTAAGCACAAGAAAAAAAAATCATAAAATAGCATTTATGGAAAAGATAGAGGTTCTTAAAGAGAAAGTGAATGAATCCCTTAAAGAAATGTATGACATACCTAAGTATCAGTAGGTGGGAGGGAAAAATAAAAAGTAGTTCAAGGTTTCAAATTAGGAATCAAATCAACAAATAAAACCCACACTGAGGGAAGTCTAGAAATGAAAGTTAGGAACTCTCAGAGGAATCTCAGAGTCAAGTTTCACTAAAAGAATACAAGAGATGGAACAAAGAAACTCAGAAGTAAAGACAAAGTAGAATATATGGACATCTCAGTCAGAAAAAAAAGTTAAATAGAGAAGAATCCTGCCAGATCATCCAGGAAATCTGAGACAATATGAAAAGACCAATGCTCAGAATAATAGGAATAGAGGAAGGAAGAAAAATCAAATGACAGAAAATATTTTCAACAATTCATAATAGAAAATATCCATACCCTAAAAAAGTAAGTACCTATCAAGTACAAGAAACATATAGAATACTAAATAGACTTCACAAGAAAATAAAGCCCCCTCCCCACAAAATAAATAAAAACACTAAATACACAGATTGAAGAAAGAATATAAAATGTTGCAAGGGAAAAAAAATCAGGTAACATATAGAGGAAGACCTATTAGAATTATAATTGACTTCTCAGTGGAGACTCTAAAAGACAGATGGGTCTGAACAAATATTTTGCAAACTCTAAAAGACAGCAGACAATACCATCCTACTATACCCAACAAAACTTTCAATCACTATAATTGGAGAAAACAAGATATTCCAAGAAAAAAAAAAAGTGAAATTTAACCAGTATCTTTCAATACAATACCAAAGTGGTTAGCTGTATACAGGAAAAGATAAGGAATAAATAATACAAGACCAGCAAATCAAAATGTGTATGCACACACACACACACACACACACACATGCATGTGTGCACATACTTCCTCACTTCCTCACTCACATCACCACCACCGTCACCAACACTACTACCACCACCACAACAAAATAACATGAATAAACATCACTGCTTATTGATATCGTTCAACATCAGTGGTTTAAATTTCCAAATAAAAGACACAGACTAGCTGAATGAATTAAATGCAAGATCCAGTCTTCTGATACATTCAAGAAACAGACATCAACGTCAAGGATAGAAATCATCTCAGGATAAAAGGATGGAAAAAAAACATTATTCTAAGCAAATGGATTTTAAAAGCAAGCTGGTCTAGCCATTTTAATATTTGAGAAAATAGAATACGAATGAAAACAAGTCAGAAGAGATAGGGAAGGACACTGCATATGCATCCAAGAAAAATCCACTAAGAGGAAATTTCAATGCTTATCTACGTTACAAACACAAGGGCCATCCAGTTTATAAAAGAAACATTATTATGGCTTAAAACACATACTGACCTTCATACACCTATCGAGGGGTACTTCAGTATCCAACCCTCAGTAAGAGATAGGTCATCCAGACAGAAATTAAACACAGAAATGCTAAATCTAACAAATATTAAAAAGCAAATGAACCTAACACATTTACAGAAAATATCGCCCAGACACAAAATAATATACCTTCTTCTCAAAATCTCATTAAACATTTTCCAAAACTGACCACATACTCAGACATAGCAAAGTCTCCACAGATACAAGAAGACTGCAATAACACGCTGTATCCTGTCTGACCATCACAGACTACAAGTTGCACGATAGCAAATGAGAAACTCAAACAGCAATCCAGCCACAAACACTTGGATCAAAAATGGTGTCCTGCTTACAAGTTGTAGCAGAGCAATGGTGACCCACAATTTGTGCATGTAACCAACCAATTTCTAATTTGAGTTAAGGCCCACTCCAGGAGATGGAAGTAACATCCTACATTGCTAGGGTGAACCAAAACTAGGTATCCCAGGGATCTAGAATAAAACCAAATACTAGCATACTTTAAAACAAAGCCACAATAAAATCATTACTAAGACAGTCTCTTCTACTCATAGATCAATGCCTTACTCAACTACCATCAGCAAAGCTTCCTCCTGAAGCACATAAAAAAATAATGATACATAGTTCCACAGCCAAACATTATTCAATGGGGAAAGATGTTGGAGCTCTCAGCCCCAAATGGGAAGTCTCATCAAATTCCTCCCCTCAGGGTTCAGGGAACACTGTGGAGGAAGAGAAAGAAAGTTTAAGAGCCAGAAGGGATAGAGGACACCAAGAATACAAGACCTTAGAGTTGAAAGGAGAAATGAACACATGCTTCAATCCCTAACCCAGAAGCAATTTGCATTTTATAACCACTTATAAGTGAAAACTTAGCTTTGTTCAGTAGAATCTCACTAGGAAGGCTTCATACCCAGCAGTAGTTGGTCAAACAAAATATAAACTTCATAGTGTCTTTGGAGGTGACTTGTCTCACATATCATGTCATGGATTTTTCTTCATAATTTTAAATCTCTTATTTTTACATATTTATATGTTTTTCTTTTTACCCTATGCATTTTTGCATATATGTTATAACTTCCAGTTTAGTGTCTTTATGGGATTCTTGAGTGTGTAAGCAAATGAGTTTCTATTTATTGTGCCTTCTCTTGGGCTTTTTCCATTTTGTTTGCTTTGTCTAAGTCAGATGTGTTACTTCTTGTTTTATCTTATATTTACTATACTGAACAACTAAAATATCATGCTCAGTTTATATAGATTTAATTAGCTTTATATTATTAATGAAGACAGTGGTTCATGAATAAACTATATCTTTCTTTTAGGGAATAGAAAATGAATACACTGAGACAATTTGCCTATTCTCTAATAGAACTACCCTGGCAAAAAAAGTTTGAATGTAACCAGGGAACAGTAGCTCCAGCCTCTATTGCACAGAACCAACATCAGGTTTGTCTTTTAATATTTAATTAATTTGGGGCTACTTCTCAGTTTTACACTCACGAAGTCCTGAAACTCACCAAGTGATAAGATTGGAGGTATGGGCCATTACAGTTAGTTATGTGATATCTTTCAGACACAATTCTCACACTTGGTTATTATTCACCATAAACTGAGGCTACATTGACATGGATTTGGTAGAGAATGGTACTGTGGAGAGTTCCCTGCTCATTCTAATTCTCTGCCAAAGCAATGAGGTACTGAAAAAGTAATTTAAATTTGGAATACACATACTTATTTTGTGAGATTTGACAGAGCAAACCAACAATATTCATTGTTTTTTAGAAACTATATTCCCCTCTGCTAAAGATTATGCTAATGTTTTCTAACTAAATGGCGTAATTGGTTGTAAAACTGCCTAATAATGTTGCAGGTGGACATCAAGCATCTTGCAAAACTATTTCTCCTGTGTTTTCATGATTTTATATTCAGGTATTGAGCTTTAAATCAGTTGCAGTAGTTTCAACTTGATGGTCTTGAAGCTGTTTTGCTTTGTCTACTCTTCCTGGGTTCCTATCATTGACTTCCCGAGTTGTAGTATGAGACTTTAACAAAGCTAAACAGATGGTGATTATGAAGTGGAGGTAGCGTCACCTGACTGGTCCTTGGGAA